CAGGTGTGCAGAAAATTAAATGTAATTGTACATTTCAAAATCAATGTTTCAACCACATGGAGAGAGGGTTTCCAGCTCAAAGATCCATTTCATTTCTGTTCTATCAAAAACATAATGGGGACACTAAATGTTTACATTTCCTGGGAATCCAAAAGGTTCAAAAACCATGGAGAGGGGGGGATCATCTCAAGATCCTGAATAGAACAGAAATGAAATGGATCTGTTGTAGAATTATTAGGCCTCTATAAATCTGTAAGGCCCCTTTAAATCCTCTTGCTATACCTCTAAGAGGCCCCCATAGTTTTACAAGAAAGCTTTGTCTATAGAACATAGAATTTGCATGCCAGCAAGAAATAGCTTTGATAAAATGTGTATTTACTAAAAGCCTTGAAACCTAACCTTGAGAAACTAACCGTGGCAGCTACACTCTAAATGGATGGCTGCCAAAGCACCCCTCCCATCGAGTGAACACCTCGTGCTAACAAGATGGCGCCTACATCTTGTGTCCACTCCCGTGTCAAGGATGACATCACCTCTTGATAGGAGGGTACCTAACTAACCACTTAACACATGGACCAATCAATAGTGTCTATTTGCTGTTATCTTGATTTTCTTCAATGATGTAATAATGCCTTTAAAAGGGTCTGCGCACCCATTTTCTGTCAGAAGCCATTAAACTTCTCCGAAGTTCTTTCATTAACCTGAACTTTGTGTCTCAGTGTGAATTTACTTTTGCGTGCACGCAACTTTATTATCTTCAATTTGGACAGGAGCAGATAGTCATTCAAACTAATTGGTTTGCAGTAAATTATCTACAACAACTGGCGCCATAACGTGGGGCTCTGGGCTATGTCCTGCCTGGGCAGCTGTCCAAGAAGATGCTGGGGGGGTGAATCCTGGGGGAAGGAAAAGAGCCTGATCACCTCTGAGTACACGGTAGAGATTGCTGCAGCACCTAGCCGGTATGTTCCTGCCCCTGTGATTGACCTGTCCCAGTGTCTGTGACTGCTACCGAGAGGACATCAAAGTCAGGTAATAACTTGCCCAGAGTCTTTGTATTGTTAATGATACCTAGTTTACCTGCATGTTGACTATCTGTTGCCTGGGTGTGTTTGTATTGGTATGTGTTTACCCGGGGAGTGTAAGTGCCTGTTTAACTCTTTTAGGAGCCACGTGGCTGTGGCTGTAAGGAAAAAGAGTAGGGGGAATCTGTGGAGGATGATGTAGACTCATTGCTTCCTGGGGGTTCCCCATAGTGCCACTTTGACCGCTTAGCTAGCCTCATCGGACACTTCTTCTTGGTAAAATTCCAGCCTCGAGCGCTGAGGCAGGTAAGATTCCAATTCTTTAGGCTATACAGGATTCGGGTTGGAAGCTGTTGCTGTTTCCTGTGGCTGCTGGTAGTGAGACTTGCGGGTGGGTCCGCAACAGGGACACTACGAGGTTGAGGGAGGTGGCTTTGGGCCACGCGAGTAAAGGCAAGGGACAAAACTGTTGAACTTATTTGAACTGTGATGCATGCACTGTATTTTATTTGAAATGTTGTCTTAATTGTCTGTCACACAGATTCCTGTGTTTACTTCTATCTTACTCACTGTACTATTTACACTTTCCCCTCCTATTTCTCTTTCTCTTTGTTGAGAGAAGTGATTGGTCACACACTTCTCGCCACGCTCCAATCCGCGGCTACCACGGGTAGGCGGAATCAGTGACTAGTCTACGTTTTGGGAAGACGTACTTAAAGAGCTTGCTCTTAAAGTAGCAGTCGAGCACGGTAGACGTTCTGTTCCTTTCTCTCTCTATATCTGGGACGCCTTGTATAGGGAGGATGGGACAGAAGTTAGATAAACCCAGTAAGGGTTGGTTAGCATGTGATCTAGTGGAAGACAGAGAAGGAGAAGAGATGGTTAAGAAAGTGAGGAAGATTGCTAAAGTATGTGGAATTACCGTACCTCCGTGCGGCAGATTGTAGCCAGAGAGCTGGCGTAAGTTACTGATAGAGAAGAAAGGGGAAGCTGTCGGACCACGATTTGGTTTGTACAGCAGAAGCCTGGTACCGAGTAGCAAGAGCTATTCAGCAAAAGGGATAGGTTGAGGAAGAAATTGATCACAAAGGTTTAAGATTGTTTGTGTATTATAATAATTGTGTTACTGGATGCTGGTGGATCCCTATTCTTCCCCCCCCATCAGTCCTACAGATCTCGTCACCCTCATCCTCTCTCTGCAGCTCCCTGCACCTCCAGTCCGTTTCTCCCGTCAAAGATTTCTGGTTTCCAAACGTATAAGTCTCTGTCCTTCTGTCTTGTTACTTTCCAGCACTCACATGGTTAATCTTCATGCCTGCAGCTTCACTCCCTTTTTTGCACTGTCTAACTTTCTCCCCCCCCCCTCCCCGCTTGCATTTCTACTGATAAGAGTTAGAGACGGGATTTTTGCTGGACAATATTCTAATTCAAAGGTTATGGTGTTATAATTGTATAATAATATTATTATTGTTGCCGTTTATATATATATATATATAAATTGTGTTTTGTGATAGGGCAGTGAAGATTGTGGGGGGGCTCGCTCACAAGAATGCATTCCACCTTTCTGAGTATTCTCTCCAAGACTGGTGTATAAGACAGGGAGTCAGGGATGTAACTCAGTGTTGATTTACGGAGGTTAAGTAAGTGAATCTGATACAAGAATAGAGGAATATTTGGACGAGTTAAGTGTAAAGGCAAGCGTGATTTGTTGCAAAACTATGCAATGAGGATGATAAGGGAAATTGGTTGAATTCCGTGAGTTTATTTTGCATCATTTTATTATTTTAAAGTTATTTTAAAGTACATGTTTCTAGAAACAGCTGTATGGGCTGTTAAATGCATAATGTTCTCAACTGTCTTATTTAACCTGCCAGGTCTGTTCATAGTTTAGTATTTCATTTTGCAGAACAGAATGTTGCTTCTCTGACTTATTTTAATAGTTATAATATAGTGTATTGTTGAAAGTGCATCAGCCACCACCCTAAAGATGGCGCCTAGTACAGAAGGAGGTTGACCCTGCCAGTCCCGTGACCTATCTACAGTCACGGTTGCTTCTAAAGTGACGTCACTTCCGCCCTTACCATGCCCACACCTCCTGTCTTCCTTTCCCACACATATCATGGACGTCACCCCTCTCACTTCCTCCCTTGCTGTCATTTCCTTCCCCGCCCCTGTCATGGCTGCCTCCATCATGAGGCCTACCCCTATTATGCTCGTCCCATTTAGAGACATGTTGTTTTCCTTACACTCTACATATTATGAACAGAAACATTATAATTACTAAAACAATCATGCCATTTGTTTCCCTGTATCAGAAATTTGTCCGTGATAAAAAAAAAAAAAAAAAAAGAAGGTTGCTAAAATGTAATTTGCAACTGTGGTGTGACCTACATATGAGATCTGTTGGACACGAATATAAGAGCATAACAGCTGATTATCCAGATTAATCTTGCAACAAGGGAAATAGCCAAATAATGCAAGTTATTTTAAACATTGTATCTTTGCTTAATCGAATCTTGCTAGTTACAGATCGTATGTTTACAGTAACATCCTTTACGTTAAATGATGGTTTAGCATTAGAAGGATTAGTGACATGTTTTATTAACCCAGCCACTACTGGTTGTTTATTTTAGTTACAGGGTGGTATAATTGTTATAGTCTAATTAATATAAATGATAGTACCGCAATAGTTAATGTTTTATCCAAAGACATTTAGGAACTTTACTTCACTTACTATTAACCATTATTTATAATGATAGACATGTTCAGACTGCAAAAAGCTATGGCTAATGACATAGAAAGGGGTTTGAGTCAGTAACACAGCCCATACAGAGGAGAGCAAACCCGCTGATGCTTAATGCCCCTGCCATGGCAGTGTCTACAGGGAACAAGGGGGGCCACTAGCCACTGTAACTTTACCTATTGAAGGTCACCCTACTACTTTCCTGGTTAACACAGGTGCAGCCCGCAGTGTTCTTAGAGAACAAGACCTGCCTGACTCATCGTTCCTGCCTGACACCGATGTCTCTTGTGTTGGTGCTGATGTCCTATCCCGCCTCCAAGCATCCATCACCCTCACTGCAGACGGCCAGGTTCAATTAAATACACCTTTGTCACGAAAAGACACTACAGTTCTTTGTTCCCTTCCCATTTTACTGTGGAGATGATCTACCCACAACAGAACAATGCTCAATTAATCTTCTTTGCTATCTAGCAGAACAAGGATGTGAAGCTTCACGTCTCAAGCTGCAATTCTGCCAACCTACTGTTATCTTCCTTGGCCATTGTCTGTCTCAGGGAACCAGACATCTCACTCGTGACCGAGTTAGAGCAGTACTGGACATTCCACCTCCAAGGACCTCAAAGTCACTACACGCCTTCCTTGGCCTCATTTTCTATTGCCGAGCATGGATCCCAGAAGCCTCACTCCTTATGCAACCTCTCTATGATGCTCTCAAGTCAGACCCATTTTGCTTGTCCACAGAAGCCCTTGACAACTTCTGTACTCTTAAACGTGCTATTGCTTCTGCTCCTGCTCTTGGCCTACCAGACTATACCAAACCCTTCAAATTGTTTGTTTCTGAAAGACAAGGCCATGCAACAGGAGCACTCACTCAGGCCCATGGTCCTGGAGGCCGCCAAAGGCCTTTTGGATTTTTCTCCTGCCAACTGGATATTGTGGCCAGAGGACGTCCCACTTGCCTTTGGGCCGTCTGTGCTGCCAAAGAGCTCATTGAAAGAACTGGAGATCTTGTCCTTGGCCACCCCCTGGTTGTCTTGGCCCCTCATGACATTTCTGCCATAGTCAACCAGGTCCAACTTAAGCATGTTACTCCTGCTAGGCATCTTTGCCTTCAATGTCATCTTTTGTTGCCTGACCACATTACCCTTCAAAGATGTCAAGTTCTCAATCCGTCCACTCTTCTGCCACTCCCTGAGGGGGGTGTATACTACGGATTCATCATGGACGAAACTTATGTTTTTCTTCTCACTGGCACCATCAAGAAGGAAATGCATCCCAACCTATCCTTTCATGATGGACAAGCACTCCTTCATGACGGAGCAGGATATGCCTTCTGTACCATGTGGTACAAACCAAACATCACTCCTGAACCCTGCTATGAAGATGAACTCTATCATCTGGTCGAAGTAAAACTCACTGCACAAGACTTCTACTGTGATTCTGAAGGCAACAGTATGGTCTTGATTCATCTACCTCCGGAACTCAAGTATTTGTACCGTCATTGGGACACTGCCATTCCACATGTCCCTGTGACCAAGTTGAAAACAATATCATGGAATGATCTTGGGCCTATGGCAAAAACATGGGCCACTATGGACGAATCACAGCTACAGGAAAATGGTGTTGTCAAATATCCAACAACTGACCACCTAAAAGCATGGCCACGTCATTTCCTGGAAAATGAGTTCCAAGATTTAACCATAGTAAATGACTACGACCCAAATACACCTCATGACTGTTTTGAACAGATGAAAATGGAAACAACACATCTACCAACTGTGCATGAAGACCCATTGGTAGATCCCGATCTCACCCTGTTTGTGGACGGCTCAAGATATGCTGATGAAGAAGGAAGATACCATACAGGATATGCCGTAACCACAACAGATGAAATTGTCAAATCATCATCTTTACCATCAACTATGTCTGCACAAGAAGCTGAATTGCAAGCCCTGACTTCAGCATGCAAGATCTCTGAAGGAAAGCGCGCCAATATCTACACGGATTCAAGATATGCACTGGGCGTGGCTCACGACTTCGGATTAATTTGGAAAACAAGAGGATTTCTTACCACCGCCGGTACACCAATCAAGCACGGTTCCGCAATCAAGGAGCTGATGGACGCCCTCCTACTCCCAGAAGAAGTGGCTATTTTGAAGATAAAAGCACATGGGAAGTTGGACTCAGATGAAGCAAAGGGCCACCATCTAGCTGATCAAGCTGCAAAACAAGCTGCAAGAGAACTACAGGAAGTGGACAGAAGTGTGTCCGGAAACGAAGAAACTCCCACATTTACCTTGCAGACACTTCCAACTGATCTAAAAACCCTACGGGAACAACAGGCTGCAGTTGCTCCTGAAGAAATACAAAGATGGAAACAGAAAGGGGCAGTTCTGAAGGATGGAGTGTACTCCAACAACCTCAAGTTCTGCCTCCCTAAGAATTTGTACCCAGCAGTCGTACAATGGGCACACGGACCTGCACATTTATCAAAGGATCTAATGAATGCTCTTGTACAAAAATACTACCTCACTGTCCCCATATGAGATTCTATTTGGGACTGCACCTAGGCTAGGTTGCTATTTTCCCCAGCAATTACAACTTCATACTGATGTTTTAGTAAACTATGTAACTGAACTTGCCAATGCTTTGAACAAAATCCATGCCCAAGTTTTCTCTTCAATTCCAGATCCTGATTCTGACACAGGCAACCACAGTCTGCTCCCCGGTGACTGGGTTCTGGTCAAGAAATTTGTGCGAAAACACACCCTGGAACCAAGATTTGACGGACCGTTCCAAGTTCTCCTGATCTCCCCTACCTCTGTCAAATTGGCCGGAAGGCCTAACTGGATCCACGCTTCCCATTGCAAGAAGACACCTGCCCCAGAGGAAGCTAACTCTATGCAACCATGTGCCTCTGGTACATTATCTCCTTAGTTGGCCTCCTTAAAGCCCAGCAGGTGGCCATCACCAAAGATGCTAGTGGGTACACTTTCTGGTATAATTCATCATGTACCCACGTGGCTACATTCACCTTTGATTACTGTGATATTATAGAATGCCCATTCCCTAAGTCACAGATTCAAGCCATTTATAAAGATATACCACAAGCAAAAGACCCTTACGTTTGTGTAGTAGATGAACAATGGGGTTATGACTGTAACTACTGGGGGGCTGCGGGATGGAATACTGGGCCTGCCTGGGGTTATAAACCCAAAAGTGCTTTATCTAAGATAGACAATCAGGGTAGATCCCTCCTTCAAAGAATGACTTTAAGAAAGCCTGGAGGAAGTACCCCTATGAAATTAATGTTAAACATTGAACATCCTGGCCCCGAGGATGCAGACCGATATGTAATGGGAATGTATTGGAAGAAAGGTTCCTACAACAAATTAGGTCATTTCTACCTCAGAGATATGTACCACTCTCCAGAGTGGCAAGGGGCTGATCATATGGTCCCAAATCCGCTAAAACCACATATCCAGTCCTTTAAAGATATGATGGCCATCGCTAACCCCACTTTTGAAGATACCATGGCCGCTGAAACTGGATTCAATGACATTCATTTGTGGTTAGAATGGATGAGGTATAATGCCAACAAACATAATAAAACAGCATGTTATGTATGTGGCGGTGCCCGACCCCACCTTGGCACCGTCCCCCTAATTCTCCCTTTAGAGATAGAAGATTGCTTCCTAAGCCTTTTTGCCTACCAATATGACTTTAATAGGTCCCTCTGCATGGCATGGATGGCAGAGTACCCTCTCTTAGTTGAAAATGTTAAGCCACCTGATGGAATCACAGTCTATAGAGGTAATAACACTTGTTATGCCATGTATGACGGGATTGGTAAATTCATGGGTAATTTTTCTAAAGGTTATTGCGCCACTTACAGAACTGTTCCTATACGCCTGTTGCAACACCATACCAGGTCATTGGGGGATATTTACTGGTTATGTGGGGATCTACAGTTAAGATCTAGGCTGGAAACTGAGTGGTGGGGTGAGTGTACCCTAGCCAAAGTTATCATGCCCATTCATATTATTTCTGATAATCATCATGACACATACGACCCTCCACATACACCAGCCAGAGTGAGGCGCGAAACCCCAGTAAAAGGCAGTTTTGACCCCCACATTTACATAGATGCCATTGGGGTACCTAGGGGGGTACCTAATGAATTTAAAGCTAGAGATGAAGTAGCTGCAGGTTTTGAATCACTGTTCACTATAGTCACTGCCAACAAAAACCTTAATTGGATTAACTACATTTATTACAACCAACAGCGTTTTGTCAACTACACCAGGGATGCCCTCCAGGGCCTGGCCGAGCAGTTGCAGGCCACATCCCAGATGACCTTCCAGAACAGAATGGCCTTAGACATGATTCTAGCTGAAAAGGGGGGTGTATGTAAAATACTACCTGACACATGACTTGTTGCACTTATATCCCAGAAAACACAGGTCCTAATGGTAAAGTCACTCTGGCCATAGCTAAATTAAATAGACTCTCAGAAGAGTTAAAGAGAAACTTAAAGAGAGTTACTGATCCCTGGGAAAAATGGTTTGGTTGGATGACTGGTTGGCAGAGAGCTTTAGTCCAGATTGGTATTGCCTTACTAATTTTTCTTTTTATTCTTGCTCTTCTCATTTGTTGTGTCCTCCCATGCCTAAGGAAATTCCTGCAGAAAACTGTAGACCAAGCAACACCAACCTTCACTCATCTGACAATCGATGATCAAGATCTCACCTCACCC